AATTTACCACATTCTGGGTTATACTCATTGCATCTTCATGGTGACATCTTAGCATATTCTTCTATCCCCAGTATGTCCTACAATCTTTTATTTAGATGTAGAGTCTCAATTGTGTTTAGGTTTTAGTAGGTTATGTGTATATGCGAGTATATGTGTGGAAGGGTACATATAAATACTTTATAGTGCTTCATATATCCTATGCTATAAGCATACCAGGAGGCATGTTATGCATGAATCTTAGTATGATTTGATTGTTAATAATGATTATTATTGATAAGATTGATCAGTACTTAGGTAGGCATTGTCAGTCTGATCCATCCATTTAAAGGTTCTTGCAGCTATTGATTACTCATTATCTAGATTCAGTTCTCTAGGAAGTTTTTTTTAAGTGATAATGTAAGTGATATTCTGATATTCTTTCTGCATTCATTATCTGGAATTCCTCTATAAAGACCATTCCCTTGTAACTTCTATTTCCCAAAGGATAGTTTGTATAAGGAAGTGAGAATCAATGCTTGATGTTATTTTCTTAGTAAAAATGATAGTACAGTATACACATACAGAAGTGCCTTATTCTTTTACTGGGTGCTTAATAATTCACACTATAGATTGTGTTAAATAATGTGTTTAAGAGTAATGCTTTTTGACTGCTGATTGATGGAGAGTTTGTCAAATTCTCTGTCCCTTCTGTTGCTTTCCTTGTCAGTGTGTTGGGTATGACAAAGGAAAAGGAAGTATCTCTCTTGACTACATAGAATGTCATCATAGATGCACCTGTGAAATGTTTCCTGAGCAGGCTTGGTAGCCCTGAGCAGGTTGGTCACCCCTCTTTCTGCAGGCTCATTCCTCATTCAACATACCAATCTTACTGGTGCGTGGGTCTATGACATCTGTGGTTCTGCTTCACAACTGAATGCTTTTATGCCTTCCCCGGTGCTTTAAACAGGTATAGAATTCTTTGCACTACCACTCAGAGCATTGCTGCTTCATCTCTTTTCCTGAGAACTGTAGCTATACTTTGGCCTTTGAGATTATTGGGACTGACATGTAGGAACTCATGCTTTTTGCTGTTCCTTGCAATCAACCAAGAAGTGGAGGCCTGTTAGTATTTTAGTGTCTGTGGGACTAGAGCAGTTATGGGCAACAGTACCTTTGGAGACAGCATCACATTGGTTCCTGCCTGGTAATGGGTGGAGTCCTTGTTCTGTGTGTTTTTCCAGAGACCCTTGAGTACTGGTGGTAGAGGTAGTCGGGCTGTGCAGCCTCTCTTCTTGCTGAGGTATATAGGAACACAGATGAAGTGTTTAATACTACCAACAACAGAAATGTATTCCCTCTTAGTTCTGGAAGCTAGCAGCCTGACATCAGGGTGCTGGCAGGGCCACAATCCCTATGGAGTCTCTAAGAAAGGATTCCTTTCTTGTCTTCTAGCTTCTGCTGGCTCCCAGGACTCCTTGGCATTCCTTGGCTTGTAGCTGCCGCACTTCAGCCTCTGTCTCCATCCTCACATAGCCTTCTCTGTGTCCTCTCCTCCTCTTATAAGGATACCAGTCATTGGATTTGGGGCTCACCCTAATCAAGTATGACCTTATGTTAATTACAAAAATTACAGGTTTGCAAAGTATGTTTGCTCAGTATGTGACCCATTCCCAAATATGGTCACATACTGAGGCTCTGAGTGAACATGAATACTGGGGACACTATTCAACCCACTCCACCCTCCTAGTAATTTTTCTGTTTCTTGGCAAAGTGGCAAGCACTTCAAACAGTGTAGCTAATCCTATGTCATGTTGTTTTCCGGCAAAGGTAGTTTCATTTATAGGAACCAGCTGAATAGTCACCTAAATTGAGGAATATATTAACTGCTACATTTGTATTAGCATGGAATGACTTTTGTTAATGCTTGTGTCACCATGATAAGTGTCATGTTTATTGATTGAAGACTTAGTTCATTGGAGTTAGTGATGAAAGGAAACGATTTTGTTTTCATGCCTTCCCCTTGGCAGGTCAGCTCCTTCTTTTGCCTAGATCTAACTTGACAAAAGACTTTAATCTTGCATGCCAACAGATACTGTGAAAGACTTTAATCAGAATTTAAACTGTCATTTGATATGTTGTAATACAGCAGAGAGCCACCTGAAGCAGTGTAATGCATGAATTCTCAAGAAACTTAATGTGTTAGTCTATTTTATATTCCTATAAAGGAATAACTGAGGCTGAGTAGTTTATAAAGAGTTTAATTTGGCTCATGATTCTGTAGCCTGCACAGGAAGTACAGAGCCACATCTGCTTCTAATGCGGACTCTAGGAAAATTACAATCATAATGGAAGTTGAAGAGGGAGCAGGCGCGTCACATAGTGGAAGCAAGAGAGACAAGTACCAGGCTTTTTTAAACAACCAGCTCTCACGTGAACTAACTGAGGGAGAACTCATGCATTACCATGAGAACTCCACCAAGCCATTGATGAGGGCTCCACTCTCATGATCCAAACACTTGCTACTAGAGGTGATCACATTTCAACATGAGGTTTGGAAGGAACAATAACCCAAACTATATCACTTAGTGTATAAGAGTGTGGTCATTATATGGAACAGTTACACTATTATTACTATAACTCATTTATGCTATGGTGAACTCTTCATGATTATCTTACTTTTATAGAATAATAAGCCCACTAAGCGGATTCTGATGCAGCATTTGTCAGATTTTTCTAGCTATACCTGGGAAGAAAGTTGTGCTGCTAGCCTTTATTTTCACATGTAGCTTTTCACACTTGCAGGTTGCCTGTTGATGATCAGTAAAAATTTATTAATGTAACATTAAGCATCTAAGGTCTTGGAAATTCTGTGGCCTGGCAGAATAATAGCCAATCGCTTTATGACAGTTTCTAAAAGTACATATAGTCCCCAACTTACAGTGGTTTGACTTAAGATTTTTTGACTTTACAATGATGCAAAAGTGATGCTCATTCAGTAGAAATGAATGAGTACTCTTACAACTTACTATGGAGTACCCTTACAACCATTCTGTTTTCTACCTTCAGTTTAATATCTGGTAAGTTACGTGACATACTCAATACTTTATTATAAAATAGGTTTTGTGTTAGATGATCTTGCCCAGCTATAGGCTAATGTGAGTGTTCTGAGCACATTTAAGGTAGATTAGACTGAGTTATGATGTTTGGTAGGTTAGTGTATCAAATGCATTTTTTATTTATGAAATTTTTGACTTAGGGTGGATTTATCAGGAAAAGACCTAGTCCTGTCTTGAGTCAGGAAGCATCTGTACCTGTAAATACTTAGGAGGTAACATGCATTTCTGCTCATATAATTAACATTTGCAAGATAGTATGTTAGCCATGCTTAGAGAAAACATGACTTTTTTGTTTTTGTTTATACAGAAAAAAGGTGTCTACAATTAAAGTTTCTATATAAACATGGCTCTTTTAATTTCTGCCATGTATATAAGAGCTGTTGACAATAGGTGGTTGACAGGAAAAAGGAACACTAAGATATGAGAGCCATTGTTCAGGCTTCTCTTGTTTTCAGTAAGCAAAGAATAGACAGCTGTGTGATTAGTTGTCTTTTTGAATAACAAAGGAAAATAAAGAAATCCTCACCCTCTTCCTAGATTCCCTGATAGAGTTCTGACAGGGTTGGTACCTCTCAGATGCTCTTTGCATGGCTTACCTGATGTTGAGGCTTTCATCCTTTGTGGCACCTTAAGCTTTAGGATTTTCATTTCCATTGCACTTTTATCCAAAGCCCTCCCTAGAAAACAAAACAGAGAAAGCAGTCTTGCCTTTTGGCTGGCTCTGTGAGGATCTTAATTCTCATTACAGTGACAGTCACTGTTCCTTCTTGCCTCCTTTTCTACCCAGTTTTCTGCACTTCTGGTCTCTAAGTGGGAGAACAGTGGAAGGCTTTCAGCATGGACTCAGAGCAAGGCCGCCTGGCTCTGCCACTTACTTAACCTGCCTCTGAAGTCATATGGAGAATACCTGGGTTAATGTTCACAAAGTGCCTGGTTAATAGTAAGCATTATAGAAGCCTTTTTCTAAAAAAAAAAAAAAAAAAAGGATAAACCATGTTCTGTGTCTTGAATGTGGTGGTAGTTACATAGCTCTATACATTATTCAAAACTTGTCAGAACTGTGCATTTAAAAAGGGTGGGTCAGGCATGGTGGCTCACACATGTAATCCTAGCATTTTGAGAGGCCAAGGCGGGCAGGTAGCTTGAGTCCAGGAGTTCAAGACCAGCCTGGACAACATAGTGAAACCTTGTCTCTACAAAAAAAAAGAAAAGAAAAAAAGTAGCTGGGCGTGGTGGCATGCATTGGTACTCGGGATGCTAAGATGGAAGAATCGCCTTAGCCTAGGAGGTCACGGCTGCTGTGAGCCATGTTTGTTGTGATCATGCCACTGTACTTCAGCTTGGGTGACAGAGTGAGACCCCGGCTTTTTAAAAAAAAAGGGTAATTTTCACTGTATCACTGTATATAAGTTATACCTCAATAAAACAGACCTAAAATTTTTTAAAAAGAAGAAAAGCAGATTATTGTATTTAATCAGCAAAAGGTTTAGCAGGTGCTGCACAGTGGGATTATAAAAACATATAATTCAAAGAAGCTTGCCAGTGTAGACAAGCAAATCAGCTATAATGCAGGATGAATTTGCATATCAGCATAACAAGAAAAGAGATGCTTCCAAGCGGCTTATTAGTCATAGGCAAGAAATGCTGTAGGGGCTCTGAGGCAGGATTGCTCCCTGTAGTCACAAAGGTGTCACCAAAGAGTGGGAACTTGAGGTGGGCCTTAGAGGATGGGTAGGAGGTGGGCACTTGTGAGGGCACATGGTTATAGGTACAAAGCCCAGGAGTAGAAATATATGTGGAGAGTTTAGGCAGCCATGAGAGAGCTGGTTGGATCAAAATGGATTCTCTCCCACTGTGTGAGGAGCAGCTGTGTTCTCTGGACTACCCAATTCTTTTCATCCACAGAAAGGCCCCCCTTCTGGAAAAGACCGGGTGAAGAAAGGTGGATCCTACATGTGCCATAGGGTAAGTCATGTTACTAAATTCTGCTTTGGTGTTCTAATAGCAGGTTATGGATCCATTGTAAACAATAGCCCCCAAGTGCCCTGTTCATTTCTGCTAATACCTACCTATCCCCATCGAAACCAGAAGAAGGTAGGACAGTCATCTCAAGATTGGTTATAGGCATAGGGAAAGGGAAAAGTGGCACAAGAAGCAGAGGCTGTGAATGACCTGTTGCCAACCAGATTCCATCAGTTGAGTCTTGCCCCTTTGCAAGACCTTTGTTGTCCTGTGAACTGTTCCATAACTTGTACTCCCCCACCCTGCTGCCACCAGTTCCAGCATGTAATCTGGAAGCACACCCTTAATTTATTTGAGACTCCTGTAACTTCCGGGGTTTTCTGCTGAGATTAAGTGAGAGTTAAAAATGGAGGGTGGTTTGTGGAATGGAAGCATCCCAAGGGTTCTAGTTATAAAGTATGTGTCTTGTAAAATAAGCATCATTCTCAGAGAGGGCTTCTGCTCTTTGTGCTGTGATTTTAGTGTCTGAGCTGGCTTGGTTAGTCAGAGTGACTCGATGTTTCATCAGTAGCCTTTGTAAGGAATTTGGAAATCATATATAATCCCCTCCCTTTTTTGAGTCATATATTTTTAGTGTTTCTAGAATTTCAGTTTCTTTCTATTCCTATGCAAAGATGGCATTTTGCAGAATATTATTGCCAAGAAGCTTCCCATGGTAATTCACTCAGTCGAGGTGGTTAGAGACTTACAACCACCTATAATAGCTCCAAATTAAGTTACTAATTTAATAATAGTGGCATTGTCAAATTTTGCCCTAAAACAGTGGTTCTCAAACTTTATTGCACATGGAATCATCCAGGATCTATTAAAAATATACTGATGCTTGACTTCCCACTCACCTCCATTCTGATTTGATTTTTCTGGAGTGTGACCTGGGAAGTTCTCAGTGTGATGAAAACATACAGCAAAGTTTGGGAACCACTAGCCTAAAGAGAATCTCTCTAGAATTATATATATGTGTGAGTTTGTTAAGCATGTGGGTGTACTGCATTTCTTAATTTAAAATTTTTAATCCAGTGATTCAGGTGGAAGTTCATAGAGTTGAGTTCAATTTCTGCTTTATATCTACATTTATAACAAGATGTAGACAAATTTATCTTTATAAAATCATATTTTTGATGTTAAATTGAAAGCATTGTCCCAGATCCCCCCAATATATTCACATGTTTACATATATACTTTAGAGTTTTTAGTCTCAGATGGTTTCTCTGGTTGAGGTTGTTGCTAAGAGTGGACCTAGATCTTCTTGCCAGGGAACCAGACTTCCATGAAAAACAGGTGAATCTCTCTGAGTATGATAGAATCTCAAAATCCTAATTGCTGCCAGTTATGTCTGTGACATGTAGCACTTTTCTAAATGGAGAATCCATTTACTCTCTAAATAATTAGGAAACAGAAGATTTTTTATCAAGAATAAGTGGAGAAAATAAAGCTTATAAAAAACATTTTAAGCAAATAACACTAAACTTTCCTAATTTCATGTATATGAATGTGTCTACTTTAACATTTTATAATTTTTAGTTTTTTAGTCTGCGTTTTATAAGCTTCCCATTTGATTCTTTTAAAATATATTTTACCTAATATATGCTTTTATTAAATATACTTACATGGCACAATTGATCTTCATATGTTCATCTTGTATTTTGCAGCCTTGCAAAACTTATCTCCGAGTTTTAGTATTTTTGTAAATTCTAGTAGACTTTCTGCACAGGTAATCATATGATCTATGAATATAGAAGCTTACTTTTTTCTTTTTATCTGGATGCCTTTTTATAACTTTTCTTACTGTATGGCATTGGCTAGAACCTTCACTATAGTGTTGAATAGGAGTGATAAGAGTAGACATTCATACCTTATACTTGATCTTAGGGAATAAACATTCAGTTTTGCAAATTTATGTGTGATATTAGCTGTAGTTTTTTCATGGAAGTCTTTTTAACCAACTTGAGGATTTTTTCTGTTATTTTTTATGTTTTTATCAGCAATGGATGTGGATTTTGCCAGATGCTTTTTCTACTTCTATTGAAATGATTACATACTTTTAAAAAATTTGTTAATATAGTTAATTACATTGATTTTCTTTTTCTTTTTCTTTTTCTTTTTTTTTGAGTTGGAGTCTCACTCTGTTGCCCAGCCTGGAGTGCAGTGGCACGCTCCTGGCTACCTTAGCCTCGACTTGCTGGGCTCCAGCAATCCTTCCGCCTCAGCCTTCCAAGCAACCAGACCTACAGGCGCATGCTACCATGCCCGGCTAATTTTTGATTTATTGTAGAGACAAGGTCTCGTCAAGTTGCCCAGGTGGTTCTTGAACCCGCGGGCTCAGGCAATCCACTCACCTCGGCCTCCCAAAGTGCTGGGATTACAGACTGAGCCACCGAGCCCGGCCACATTGATTTTCAAATGTTAAGTTGTCCTTGCATCCCTGGGATATATTCCACTTAGTCATGAGGTATTATCTTTTTTATATATTTTATAAGATTTGATTTGCTAAAATGATGAGCGAGCATTTTTACATCTAGTTCATGAGGGGTATTATTTTGTTGTTTTCTTGTCATTTCTTTGTCTGGTTTTGGTTTCAGGGTATTTCGGTCTTCATAGATTGAGTTGAGAAATATTACCTTATGTTTCACTTTTTGGAAGAGTTCATGTAGAATTAGTATTGTTCCTGAAATGTTTGGAAGAATTCCCCAGCGGAGCCTTTGGGCCTAGAGTTGTAACTAAAATTTAATTTATTTAATAGACATAGACCTATACAGTTAGTTTGTCTGCTTCTTCTTGATTAAGTTCTGGTAGTTTGTATCTTTCAAGGAATTTGTCCATTTCATCTGAGTTACTGAATTTCTTGGCATAATTTTTACCTCTTCATTGGGTATTTAGACCATTTATATTTAACGTGATTATTGATGTGGTTGGGTTGAAATGTGCCATCTTGGGTGGTTTTTTTTTTCTTGTTTGTTCCCTTTGTTCTCTGTCTTCTTTTGGATTATATTTTTTTATCACTCCATTTTCTCTCTTAGCTTATTAGTTGTAACTGTTTTATCATTTTAGTAGTTGATTTAGAATGTACATTATGCATCTTTAACTTTGCCTGGTTTACTTGATGTTTAAGTTTTAATTTAATCAGGCTCACTGTGATAAAGACATTCCAGAAGAGGAAAATAGCACAGTAACAAAACTGAGTGGGATCTACAGGATTTTCCAGAGAAGAATGTCAGTTACAGGATCTTGGTCAAGTGAATTGTACATCATATAGGTCTTTAACATCAGTCTGATTATTTCTATAATGTCAGAAAAACAGCACATTGTTGGTTGTAAATTATTTTCAGAGTGCTTAGCCTTTCCACTAGATTAAGAGTGGCAGCTTTTTCTAAATTATCAAGATGTGGATTCTGGAATTACATCTGAATTGGAGTCCTGTAACAGTGACTTGCTCTGTGTGTGATCTTGGACAAATTATTTAACCTGTCTTTTTTTTTTTTTGAGTTGGAGTCACTCTTTTGCCCAGATTGGAGTGCAGTGGCCGCTCCTGGCCACCGCAGCCTCGACCTGCTGGGCTCCAGCGATCCTTCCGCCTCAGCCTTCCAAATAGCCGGAACTACAGGCATGTGCTACCACGCCCGGCTGATTTTTTGATTTATTGTAGAGATGAGGTCTCGCTGCCCAGGCGGGTCTCGAACCCATGTTCTCAGGCAATCCATTCACCTCAGCCTCCCAAGTGGATGGGATTACAGGCTGAGCCACCGAGCCCAGCTGTATCTACCACTTATAAACCACATGACCTTAAGCACACTGTTAACATCTCTGTACCTCAATTTTTCCTCATATATACAGAGCAGATACTACTAATAATGCATACCCCATAGGATAACTGGGAGGATTAAATGTGTTAATATATGTGAAGTTCTTAGAGCAGTTCACACAGTAAGTACTCAAGAAATATTAGTTGATGTTGTTAGTTGAATCCCTGTGGATCTTTAGCCCAGCTCACGGCATTGAGAAGATCTTCACCCTCTTGCCAAGACAAAGAGCGACAGGAGTTGGTCTAGTGACAGTGGCAGTGGATGGGAAACCAAGATATGGTTAGTGGCTTTCTGTAATGGTTTTGTTCAACATGAGCTACAATTACCTTTAAAATGTCCTTTATCCCTAAAAGTCTTCTTTTCATAAAAACCATATTGCTGGTCCACTCAACTTCAGAGCCCCAAAGCTGGCAAGTCATTATCTTAAATGAATTGTTCCCAAGTCTAGGATCACATTCTTAGCACAGACATGGAGATCAATTTCAAACAGTAATTAGCCATCTTGATGAAATACAACTAAAACAGGTCCTTCCCACTTTCCCTGTTCTTAATTAATAGAATGACCCATTTTTCAGCCACCCAAAGACCTCACATCCTTAAGAACCATTTTTGGTGCTAAAAATAAAGTTAGAAAAAAAGAAAGAGCAATGAGGGCATTCATAATCAGGCCATTTACCTCTTTAATTATGTGCTTCATTAGTTGGAATTTAAAATGAACGACTTATTAATAAATGTTTGCTAAGTGAATGAGTGCATTTGAAATGGAATGATGGTGTGAATTGACTGTCTTCTCAAGTGATGGCCCTGACCTCTCAACTCTAACTTTTGTCGTGAGGCTTGCTTTTTCGGGTTTAGTTCTTCATAGTCATTTTGATTAATGGAAGATCTCAGGGATTGCTGTGATCTAAGAAGTAACTCTTTTTGTTGTTGTTGCTGATTTTTAAACTTTTTATTATACAAACAAAATACTTCCATTGCATAAAAATTAAATAATGAAAATAAAAATAATTATCCTGCTTACTAAGGAAAATTATTGATAGTAGTCTACCACACATTTTTGTGCACTTTATATTTTTTCTTCAAGAATGGAATTATTCCCTATATATGAGCATCTCCAAATATGGCCATGGTAAACATCTTTTATGTATCATGGATCTCTTTTCTACTGTCCTGTCTCACAGCCACAGAATCCTTTTAACCACAGTGCTCTAGGCAGGTCCTAACAGTTTGAGATGTTATATTCTGGGTCTTGTGACATATGAACATCATCTTACTTTAAAGTAGTTTGTTACATATTTTAGGAGGTGAGTAGCAGATAGAAATGTGCCATTCAACAAAAACCTCTGTCCTATACCCTGTCACCTGAGAAATATTCAACCTTCCCATTTGTGTAGCAAATGTATATCCACATTCAGATGTCTGTAGGGGTGTTATCATCTTCCTGCAGTCAAACAGAAGATTCCTAAGACCTGCTTAGAAACTGGCTAGAACTTTTATTGTTTTAGTAAAGAAGCAGGTTAGCCCAAAGAGGTCACATAGGATCAGCAAGGTTAGCTTCTGTGATTAAGAGCATTCTGTTTATTAGAAGGTAAGTTATAATGCCTTCCAGTATTTTAGTGCTTTACTTTTTCATGTAAAGACAAAGATGAAGTGTTTTAACATTATTCCATTAATAGCTCTATTTTATCAATGAGGGAACAAATTCAGAAAGGCTTTGCCCTAAGGTTAAATAGCAAATGAGTTTTGGGTTTTGCCCTTTCTGGTGAGTAAATTAGCAAAATGTTTGATTGTTACAATTTTCACTTGTACCAAGTCCAAACTTCCTGTCTGTTGAGAAGCCTGTTATGTGACTCTGTCCCCTTTATGTACCACGTTTTGTGTTTATCATTAACTTTCCTGGTACCAGTCATTGCTTTTGCCTGGAATTCTGATTTTCCAGATCTTTGGGCAACTCAGCCCACATGTCACCTCAGAGAGGCCTCCCCAGGTCACCCTATCTAAACTGGCCACCTAGTCACTGTAAGTCCTCTTTCCCTGTTTTACTTTCTTCAGAGATGACTACTACTGGAAACAATCTTGAATTTATTGGGTTACTTATTGTCTGACTACTACCTGTTGAGTGTCAGCTCCCTGAAAGCAGGTACCTTTTTTTGTCTTGTTTTGATGGCGTTTGTTGTGCCTAAAATAGCATCTAGCATATTAGAAACTCTCATGTTTAATCAATAAATAAACTGTGCTCTGACATGATCAGTCTGTGGTCTTCCTATCCTCTTAACTTGCCAGAATTTGTCCATTTTCATGCCTCTGATGCCATTATTTTCTCCACTAGGATGGCTTTTTTTCTCCTTCTTAAAGCATTAAGTCAGTGCTACCTACAGCGTGGCCCTAGGCCTGTAGCATCACCTGCACCTTGATGCTTGTTAGAAAGGCACATTCTTGGTCAGTCATGGTGGCTCATGCCTGTAGTCCCAGCACTTTGGGAAGCTGAGGTGGGAGGATTACTTGAGTTCGGGAGTTCAAGACCAGCCTGGGTAACATAATGAGACCTCATTTCTACCAAAAGATAAAAAAACGAGGTGGGTGTGGTGGCAACACACCTGTAGTCCCAGCTACTTGGGAGACTGAGGCAGAAGGATTGCCTGAGCCCAGGAAATTGAGATTACACTGAGCCATGATCATGCCATGGCACGCCAGTCTGGGTGACAGAGTTAAACCCCGACTCAAAAAAAAAAAGAAAGAAAGAAAGAAAAGGAGAAAGAAAAATATAAGAAAAGAAATGCACATTCCTACAATAGACTTCCTAAATCAAAGGGTGTGTGGCCTAGGAATATTGATTTAAACACTCTCCAGGCTATTCTTATGTATGCTGAAATTCAAGAACCCCTGCTGTAATTGTGGAAATCCCACCCAGGTCAACTTTTGACTTCTAAAAAATGTCATTCCTAAAGACTTTGGAATTCTACAAGGGACAATTCCTTCACCTGAATTACTAACAACTTTTCAACCCTAGCATGTTTCATAGCGGTTTGATGTGTAATCTGTTTCCTAAACCAGCCTGTGATTTCCAGGACAGGAGGACCATGCCTAGTCTTGGATCTTCCCTCTGGGTGGAATCTTCCCCCTGGCAGCGGGCAGCCAGGATGTGGGTGACACTGTTTTTGGTCATGTGTGGTATAGTTACGGAGCAAGGAAGTCAATGTCATCTGTCCATCTGCCTCCCCCTGAATTTGATCCCTGCTGCAGTTTGGAACTCACTGTTTGTGCTTGGTTGCCTGGGGCCCAGGGTTATCCACAGGAGCTCAATTCTAGAAATACCAAAGCACCATTGTCTCACAGTGAGACATCATGTAGGCCCAGTGAGTAGGCCCTACATGGAGTGAGGCTTTTGCTGTGTCTTCCTACATGGTCACTTCTAGTCTTTTGAGAGCTTCATTGCATGTGGATCACACGTCATAAAAGATGCCATCGATTTTTATTCATCAAGCACACTTTTTAATGCATTTCCTCCTGCCCACCTGAAGGGTCTATTCTTCCCTGGCCACAAGGAAATTGAGAGAATTGGTTGCTATTATTTCACTATCTATAGAAGACAAAGCACTGTGTCTTTTTATGGAGGAAGTGCTCCAGAAAATTTGTGTCAACTTTAGAGATAATTTTTATGAAGATTAGAAGCATTTTATTTTCATGAGAGGAAAAAGAATAATAATTAAAAACCTCTTGCATGCTGACCTGTCTCCGCCTCCCAAATTGTCTCTCCTGCATGGGTTCCAAAGTTATTCTACATGATTCTTTGTGCAGTTTCTTTAACCAGCTGGCAAGGACTTGAGTTTTACTGGGCCAACTCAGAGTTTATGCTCATGGTACACACAGGCTGAGTAGTTTATTTTCATTCTTCATTATTTTGGATCAGAGAACAATCCTAGGGCACAAGAGATCCATGCATGGTTATTTTTGGAGTCTGGAAGCTTCTGAAGTGTTTGTAGCAAATAATCTGTGGTTATTCACTGCATTCCTACTAGGTGGCCTGGGATATGTGTTAGGGCTCTTATGCTATGTGAATGTGTGTACATGTAAGACTTGTGTGTTAGGTGGTGGTAAAAATGACAGGAATATGGTACCTTTCCCTCTGGGAGTGTAGAATCTTCTAAGGAAGCAAGTACACCACATTGAGCTAGGTCTGGGTTGGAATCCTGCTTCCCTTAACAACTGTGCGATCTTGGGTACCTTGCTTAGTTTCCCTGGATTTACGATCTAGTGGAATGACAGATGAAGATGCCAGGTATGTACTAGGTGCACAAGGTCTGTGTTGGTATGCATGTGTATACTTGTGCCAAGTTCTTATAAAATAACACAGATACAAAACAAACCACACACAAAAATGTATAGCTTTATGACTTGCTATGATGTAAACTCCAAAGCAATGTATTTTTTAAAACAGCAATGTTGGCTGGGCGCGGTGGCTCAAGTCTAATCTCAATACTTTGGGAGGCCGAGGTGAGGGGATTGCCAGAGTCCATGGGTTCGAGAACAGCCCGGGCAACTTGATGAGACCTCATCTCTACAATAAGTTTTTAAGAAAATTGGCCAGGTGTGGTAGCACATGCCTGTCATTCTGGCCACTTGGAAGGCTGAGGCAGAAGGATCTCCTGAGCCCAGTAGGTTGACACTGGGGTGGCCGTGAGCATGCCACTGCACTCCAGTCTGGGTGACGGAGTGAGACTCCAACTCCAAAACAAAAAAAAAAGGCAATGTTTTCCCACAGCGTTTTCTACATTTGATGTTCCTAGGCTTGCTGTTATTCTTAATATTTTCTTAATTGCCACCTATCTTTATTGTTTAATGCCAAAAGTTAATATATACTTATTGTAGGAAATATGAAACCCAGTTGCTTGAGGATAGCTACTGTGTACATTATCGTACATTCTGAATCATCCAGTCTTTTTTTCTTGGGATGTGTAGCTATCTAGACTGAGGTCATACTACATACATAGCTTTATAGTCTGATCTTTGCATTGAATATTTTATCATGAGAATTTCCTATGTCATTAAATACTATCTAAAAACATGATTTTTAATGGCTGCATACCTTTCTATCACATGGATGTGCCTAAATTTATTCACCCATTGACTATTACATTTTTTTCTGTTATAAATAAGTAATACTGGTCCATTGCCTTGCTAGACTCTGTTGTCACCATGCTTCCTGGCTTTGGGCCCCTCCCCTACCTTGGGGAGGTAAATTTTCTCTCTCCCTTCTCTTTCTCTCTCTGAATTACTTTTAAGTAAACTTTTCTTTCTTAAAAATGAATAAATACGTAATGTTGACAACAGTCTCTTTGTACTCTGTGTTTTGTTTACAACGTAAAGGACATTGGATAATATTATGTTAACGTTTGAATGTGCTCCCATTTCCAAGGCATGTATGCTCTGTGTCCCTGAGGGAGGGTGGTAGGGCAGCACTGTCTGCAGGCAGGCCCAACTTTTGTACAGTTGCTGTTGTGCACAAACTGTATCTGGTGCCTGAGAGCCCACACCTGAGTGCAGGTAGCCCTGACCTTGATTTTTCTCTGTTCAGTCCTACTGTTACAGGTATCGCTGTGCTGCCCGAAGCCAGAATACACCCGATAGCTCTGCCTCGAATCTGGGATTCCGCTGTGCAGCCGACCACCTGCCCACCGTCTGACAACCAAGAAGAACCTGCCCCAGTCCAAGAAGTCATATTTAACCCGCACTGGGCTTCTCTTAGAACTTTGAACAAAGAATTCCCACCCCGAGGTGGGTTACGTACCTGCCCAATGGCCAAAGGAACCGTCTTGCGAGACCAAATCGCTGACCTGTGTCAGTGCATGTGCTTTATTGTGTGGTACATCTTTGGAGATCATTGCCATGTTTTACTTTTAAAGAGGAAAGGGAGTGGAGGGAACACTGAACTAGTCTTTGGAAGGCCTGTGTCCTACCCAGGCTCTACCACAGGGGTTAAACTCTGTGGTCTAACACTTGCCCTTCCCGGGCCCTTGGGCCCTCATCTATCAAGTGAGGGGATGGACAACACGACCTCTGAGGGTCCCTCCAACTGAAATTTTAAAAGTGATATCAGATTTTATTGTGACTTCATAGTGAGAATTTATGACAGATTATTTTTTAGCTATTTTTTCCATGTGTAAACCTTGGGTGATACTAATCATGTAAAATAAGAGTTCTCTTATGTATTGTTTTCAGAAAAGGGTAGGACTGAGTCCTTTATATTCATACTGCACTTTGTTTTTCCAAGGAAATCAGTGTCTTTTACATTGTTACGATGAGTCCCACGTGGGCTACTGAAGGTGTGCTAAAGTTCAGCATTCTGAACACACAGGAATGTCTGTGGGTGACTCTACTGTGCTTTATCATTTAACTTTAAGTGCCTTTGGTTCAGAGGGGCAGTTACAAGCCCTTTTTCCACCTCCCCAAATCCTTTGGTGAATGTGAAACATATGCTAAATGGGGAAAGCTGTTTCATTCTCGATATAGAAGAAAAGGAACGAGGACCTTGAATGAGCTATATTCAGGGCATCCAGTATTTTTTAATAGAGAAGTAGGAAATCCCGTTGGCTATGGGATATCAGATGCTTTGAATCATGCACTATGTTGAATAAACTGGTACCTGCTGTAAATCAGGCTTCACTCTCATTGGTTTCTTTTTTCTTTCTCTCCCTTGTGTTTTCTTTTGAAGAATTGACTTTGCAACCGGGTCACTTTGCGCCAGGTTGCAGTGTCTCACACCTGTCATCCTGGTACTTTGGGAGGCTTAGGACGGGCAATTACTCAAGCCCAAGAGTTCAAGACCAGCCTGGGCAACATAGTAAGACCCTGTCTCTAAAAAAAAGAAAAGAAATGACTTTGTGATATTTGTATGTTTTGTTTGTTAGAAAACTTTTGTGTTTTTTAGCTAATGGATAACTTTGATACATGGGCAGTTTGTGGGAATTTTTATTCCAAAAGCAAGGCTGTTGTGCCTAGAACCCTTTTGTGACCTTGTTGCTTTTTGTGGCCATAGACAATGCAAAGTCAAGGGCACTGCCTTGGTTTTTGGTCCTGTAAAGCCCCAGGCTTACTTCACATGCCAAAAAAGCACCTTGTTTTAGAGTGATGACTTTCAACCTAAGGCCTGTGTTACCAGGATCCAATCTGAATTTCTCAGTTTTGAGAACTCCTCAGCTATTTCTTGCATGTCATTTGAAAGAAATGCTTTAGTCAAATAATAATCATAAGTGTTTAACCAACAGTTGATTGCTACTTTTGTGCTTAGCCTACTCGCAGGTTTAAACATTTGTCTTGAAAAACAGTCATGCCGCTGGTCATCCCACATTTGTTGTTCAGTCACTTGGTGACTATAAAATGTTTCTCCACAAACTTCCACCAATTGATGATTAATCCCAGGCAGAAGGAAGAGCAAAAACGTGTGGGAAATAGCTAATGCAGGAAATAAGATATTTTACTTTTAAAGTCACCACTACTCTAGTACAGTTTTTGTTTTTACTTGTTGCCTCCCACCTGCATGTATTTTTTACATTGTTATATTTATAGTGTGTATATTTTGAATTCTTCTCTTGTTAATTAATGTTACTTAGCATAAATATTTTTGGTTGTTTTGGGCATAGTTCTTAGAATTGCATTTTCAGCAGCAGCATAATACTGGAAAGCATTTAAAATGAAAGCATAGCTTTCGTCCTTCATTTAAGAATCACATGTCTAGGTTACCAACTCTAAGAGTACATGAAGGCCAGGTGCAGTGACCTGCCTGTAATCTTAGCACTTTGAGAGACTGAGGCGGGCGGATCGCTTGAGTCCAGGAGTTCAAGACCAGCCTAGGCAACATAGCGAGACCCTGTCTTTACAAACAATAAAAAAAATTAGCAAGGTGTGGTGGCACATGCCTACAGTCCCAGCTACTCTGGAGGCTAAAGTGAAGGGATCGCCTGAGCCTAGGAGGTTGAGGTTGCCGTGAGCCGTGATTCTGCACTGCACTCAGCCTGGGTGACAGAATGAAATGCCGATTCAAAAAAAAAAAAGACATCAGAGTACAGCCACCACACTTTCTAGTGTTGTATATTAGCATATGAGCAGACCAAAAAAAGGGCAGTATAATTTTGGTTTCAGTGCCATAGATGTATTCCTGAAAAGCCTCACCTTCTGCAAAAGTGTACACAGAAAGTAGGAACAGGGGAAAATAGGGGTAGAGACAGACAACTCAAAACTTAAGGAACTTTGTACGTTGTACCAGAGTAATAACAAAATAATAACTATCCTAATAAAACCAGCTTAATTAAGTCTTTCCTGGCATTGACAGGCAGTAATACAGCCAGTCAATCCCTTGCAGCCTTAATTCTTGAGCCTCCTCCTTCCTTCTCCAAGATGTAAGTCTTTAAAGACATATGCTTCTATTGGAAACCAATTCCATTAAAAGTAAAAACCTGACCCAGCCAGACAAAGAGGCACACTTCTGCGGTCTCAGCTACTTGGGAGGCTGAGGCAGGAGGATCACTTGAGCCTAGGAGTTTGAGGCTAGCCTGGGCAACCTCGCAAGACTCTTGCAAAAAAAAAAAAAACTAATGAAGAAGTCTACACTCTGAATCAGATATATATTTTTAATAAAAAAATTACTTTTGGCTGAGTGCAGTGGCTCAAGCCTGTAATCCCAGCACTTTGGTAGTCAAAGTGAGGGGATTGCCTGAGCCCACAGCTTCCAGAACAGCCTGGGCACCTTGGCGAGACTTCATCTCCACAATAAATCAAAAAATTAGCTGAGTGTGGTAGCGCGTGCCTGTAGTTCTGACTACTTGAAAAGCTGAGGCAGAAGGATTGCCAGAGCTACTGCACTCCAGCCTGGGTGATGAAGTGAGACTCCAACTTAAAAAGAGAGAGAGAGAGAGAGAACCAGTGTCTTTGCATTATCTTTATCTCTACCAACTTTTCAGAGCAAGCGAGCATAATATAGTGGAAAGTATAGCAATTACTGAATCCAGCAAATAAACCACTACATGCACTAAAGGAAGGAACTTTACATAGGAGTTTTAATTTTTTTTTCCTGAGGATCTTCATATATTGCTAAAGTTTTCTCTTAAGTTGTAAGAAAGTATGTGCCTGATAGTTTCAAAACATGTTTCAAATCACATACAATCCAATATGACGTCCATATTCGACTGACCTCCATGTTCTGTTCACTAACCACTTGTGAGCTATTTCTACTTTAAAGAAACACTTATAGCAGAACAGACCATTTGGTGGATGTGCCAATTCCAGTATTGAAAACAACCACCACCCCCCCTCCTTTTTTCAGGAGCTCTGTTATCTAGAGTTGGTTTCTAACTCTCGTTTCTTGCCTCACTGAAGCATGGAGTGAATTTGAGGTTTGCTTTCAAATCTGCTTTGGTCCTGAATCCTGGATAATCTTACTTGATTTTCAAGGGTGTGCATGAGATTTGAGTGGGAAGCAAGGCATATCTTTTCTCTTAAAGTTTGTAAACATGATTAGAGGGGGGCAGGGGGTGAGGGGTGATAGCAATGATTGTCAAGGGTGACATTTCCTTCTGCAAAAACATCAAATTACATCAATGCCTCAAACTTTGCATGGTTCAGCCCACAGCATAAATTGGAATACAGATCTGTGTCAATGTAGACTTTTTTTCACCCCCTCACATTTTTTTTTTCAGACAGACATTTCAGTTATCCATATGACCCTTCAGGAAAAAGAGAAATGGGAGCTACCATTTATTTTATTTTTTTTTTTATTTTTTTTGAGTTGGAGTCTCACTCTGTCACCCAGACTGGAGTGCAGTGGCCGCTCCCGGCCACCATAGCCTCAACCTGCTGGGCTCTGGCAATCCTTCTGCCTCAGCCTTCCGAGTAGCTGGAATTACAGGCGCGCGCCACCACGACCGGCTAATTTTTTGATTTATTGTGGAGATGAGGTCTCGCCAAGTTGCCCAGGTGGGTCTCGAACCCGCGGGCTCAGGCAATCCACTCACCTCAGCCTCCCAAAGGCGCGGAGTTACAGGCTGAGCCACCGAGCCTGGCTCCATTTATTTTAATACATGTTGATTTGAATAGGCAGGGGTGTGGTGGAACGGTAGCTCCAAAACAGTGTATCGTAAATTCTATTTTCCAGGGACTATCTATATTGGGAATTCTATTGTTGACCAGAAAAACCAGGCAATGGTCTTTCATCCATGAGAATCCCAGAATTCTAATACTCTTATTAGTCACTTTTTCAAAATAGAGCATGTTTTTGTCCTCAGTATTCAAGCAGCAAATAGACGCTTTGCATGCAGTAAAATCCACAGTTGACTTAGCAAAAAGAATATTTTTGGGGGAAAAAAACCCACTGTAAACATGGTGCTTTCTGTTCTGAAACACTGGGAACTTTATACAAGGAATTAGGGTGGGATTTATTTTTGTCTTTTCAAAATGATATCTTGCATATTTTTCTCTTTCCTTCCTTCCTACAAATATTAACATTACCACTGGCATATTTCTCAAAAGGCAGCTAGCTAACCTGCAGGCTGGCTGTGGAGGAACAGAGGCAGCACAGAGCCAAGCACAGCATATAGACAGATGAAAACAGACGAGGTGCGAGTGATACCTACTCCACAGGGGCTGCCACTGCTCCGCTCTCGAGCCCAGACTTGCTCAATCACCCAGTTTCCATGAGTAGCTGGATGTTTGCATTTTCATGGGAAGTCTTCTGAGTTTTTAGTGTGGGCAACTGACTGAGATTAAAACAGCAACAACAAAAAACAAGCACCATGAAGACCTAATAAATTGCTTCTGCAGCCAGAAGCCGCCAGCGGGGTGCTAATTTACAACTTAGATTACGAAGAGTTGATTATTTCATGGGGCACAAAATCTCATGTATTTATATCTGAAGAATGACTGATCAAGTAAGTAACAAAATGAATATGTGTGAGGAAGGGCTGTGGCTTGCCCAGGGAACTCATCTTGCCTACAAATGCCACATGAGATTTTTCTTCTCCATCCCACCTCATCCCATAGAAAATCATTTAACAACCAGAAGTAATCTCAGCAGAGCCATTGACAGCCCATTGTTATTAATTTTAGTTAGCACTTATTACTAAGCTTGGAGGTTAATATCAGAAAATAGCAGAAATGTCAGTTTCTTGACTGTTGGTTTCATTTTATTTGTTAAAACTTAATTCTCTGGAATACAAACTGCCCCAGAACAGGGCTTATTTTTATAGGTTTTCAAGAATCAGATATGCCATTAGTGAAAACTGACCTTTGTTGTTTCAAATGCTTAGAACACCATGGAAATTATTAACTTCAAGAGCCTTGGATGGTTTCTTGGCAGGTGGCCAGAACTCCTTCCTTCCTCTGACTCTTGTGTTTAGACCATCAGAACAGGAGTTTAATTAATTTTTTGATTAAGCAAAATCATTACAGATAATATTCAGGTAGGTTGTAAAATGAGAAATACTCTCTTCTGAAACTTGCCCTATTTAGGATTGGAAAGTTCAAGGGATTAGTATCAAGGGGTGGAATTTTTCAGCTTCAAATCAGATTCTAATCTGCCCCCAAATGGTAATTGACCCTAAGTCATCATTACCAGAAGGCTGGTTGGGCCTTTGGAATTAGTCACAGTTGTCAGGCAAGAAGGCGATT